GCCGCAGCACTCACTCACCACAATGATGTTTCACTAGGTGCCCAGATCGAAACTCCGCGCTGCCTGGTTAGCTCGCGAACAAAAAAGCCACACAATTGTATTTTAAAGATTTAGATTAATTAAGAATTAAATACGCACATAATACAAATAACTGAATGTGATAATTATTTCTCTATCTACCTATCATCATTATCTATCCATCCATCCATCTTTTAAAAATGCTGCAAGAGCCCCAGCGGCAGTAGGCAGGCAGGCCCACAGAGCATCCAGTCCCAGGCCTAGATGGCTGCCAGGAGGTTCAGAGCGGTGGCTTGTCCAGGTTAGGCTGATCGCTGACAGGGAGAGCTGCCAGTCCAGGCGGGGTCCAGCCATGCAGCGCTGCGCTGGTCCCGGCTCCCAGCGAGTCCAGGCAAGGTGCAGTTTCCCAGTGGCGAGTGGCTGAGCAGGCGACGGGTAGAAACCTCAAAGTCCACGACACTTCCTCCAACAAGACCATACCTCCTGCTCCTTTCAAATAGTGGCATTCCCTAAATATTCAAATATATAAACCTATGTGGTTTATTCAAACCATCACAGTGGAAATGGATGAAATATTCTCGTTGTATGTTTTGTTTCTTTATTTTTTACCATTTCTTCCCACTACTTAATATTGTTTGGAATTTTTTATTTTTCAAGTCTTTTAGATTTATATTTCCATTAATTCATATGTATTTTTTAATTTTATGATCCCCATTTTAACATCAGATTCTGTTCTCTGACTTTTTAATCTTTCTTTTCTCCCTTTCATTTCTTTCCTTTTTGATGTTTCAATTTTTATTTTACTTTATATTTTGTTGTTGTGACAAATACCCTAACAAAAAGTAACGGGGCAGAAAGGCAAGTTACAGCTCATAATTTTGTGTGTCAAGGCGGGGATTGAAGTGGCTAGTCACATCAGATTCATAGTACAAAGCGTGGGGAGAATATATGCTTCCTGCTTGCCTATTTAGTGAATAAAAACGAAATAAAAAGGAAAGGAGAGGACATGACTGCTCCTAGGTGTGGCAGAGAAGAAAGTTTAGAAAGTTTATTATAGTTGTGTGGGAGAGCACATCCAGAGGCAGGGGCATCTGGGAGTTCAGAGTGGACATGACCAGATTGAGCTGGACCATGAGGGGAGAGAGGGAGAAGAAGGAAGAGGTAAGAGAGGGCAACCAGGTGCAGCAGCCAGGAGGCCAAAGGTACAAAGGGGTGGGTAACTAAAATGTCAGGATTATACAAGGAAGAGCCTCTGGGATAAAGGCAGCCCACTTCCTGTGCTGGAGAGATCCGGGTAGGGGGAAGGGTATATCAGCCATACTCTGTACCAGGTAGGGACTGGGGGGGGGGGGGGGGTCTCTAGAAGAACCTGCTGGCCAGGGTTGAACTGATTTGTTAAACAAGCACCTCAACTATTTGTCACAGGTTTGAACCTTAATATTTAGCACTCATTTAGTTTTTCGTATTCTTACCCAGTTCAGCGGCCAGACCATGAAATGGTGACCCCCACAATGGGTTGGATCTTCCGACATCAATTAACACTCAAGACATATCCCACAAATATGCCCACAGCACAGCCTGGTCTAGATAATTTCTCTTTAATACTCTCTTCCAGCTGTTCACGGTAAACCTAGATAAATAATTGTGCAAATACTAAGGTACCATTGCATAAGATCCTTAAAGGACTATTGAACGCAAAGAAGAACAAAAGCAAGCAAAATGGAAAGCTTAGGAGATAATGAAAGTTACTAATACCACACATCAGAATGAAGAAAGCACTAAATGTTAGTAATTCAGCAAACTAGAAAACCTTTCAGAGAAATAAGATATGGTGTAAATGCATATCATGCAAGAACACAAAATGTAATTGCCGTTAGGTTTCTTATTTAAAACTGAACACTGGCTACCTGAATTTAAAGAAAAACTTATCTGCTAGGAAGGGTTTCACTGCCTGTCCTCAGGGATCTACCTGGTCACATGGGTGCCTTCACCTCCATCCTTCAAAGGGGTAGGGGATGGGTCAGCCCAGATCTGGGACAGTATAAGGTCTCAGTGGGATATGGCTGTGGTAGTGCCCTGCTGTAATCCTAGCCCTTGAGGGGCAGCTGCAGGAAGAAAAGATGTCCAAGGCTATCCTGAGCTACACAGGGAAAGCGCTGTCTCAGAAGAAAGCAAGGGAGAGTGGACTGTAACTCAGTCATAGAGCACTCACCTACCATGGACAAGGCTGTCTCTTGGATCCTGAGTACCACAAAGCAAACAAAACAAAAAAAGCAAGCAATCAAATCCCTCCTGCAGAGAACAAACACCTCCACAAAACAAAACAAAATAATGTGTCATTATGTGGCAGACAGAGCATATTGATCTGATTTCTTTCAATAAAGTATGTATGATGCAGCTGCTAAAATATGTTATTGATGACATCTCAGTGGTGACTCCATTAAGATCCACCCCTGTTTGTCAGATGGAAACAAAAGCCTTCAGGACCTCTGGCATGGCTGAGCCAGCTGGAGATAGGAAGGTCCTGATGTTTCTACCCCCGTGGGTCTCCTTTGGAGAACGGAATCCGTCTCGGCCTGATGGCACTGCCACAGAATTAAGTCTGGTCTTTCTTTCTACTGGGTGTTGTACCTCATCAGTCTGTAATCCCCTTAGTGTCCGATAAATGTTTTATATTTGGGGCAGACAACCCACTGTACAGTTTTGAAGTCTCTGCTCTTCCTCTTATGCATCTGTTCTTTCTTCCCCACGTTTCCCTTTAGAGTCCTATTATAATGGCAGTGAAGACTAGAATGTGACAGAAGACACGGTGCCTGAGAGAACCAGAGTCTCTATGGAGCATCTGTCTGCTCCTGCTTAAAAGTCCAGGGTCCTGGCATCCGAGAGAACTGTCCCACACTCTAATATCTGGCAGTGTGTCATCCCCAGCATCCTGTTTTCTCAGGGTATTTGGTGGTGGTGTTACTCATGGTCCCAAATGCACACCTTTACACATTCCTCTTGTCAAACCCATGGGAGTTTGCCAAGATGGCTCCTCAAGTAAAAACTTTTGCTGCCAAACTAAATGACTTAAGTTTGATCTCTGGGACTCACACTGTTCTGCAAACTGTCAAATCTCCTGTGACTTTTGCATGCCACCACATGCAAACATAGATAAGTACATAAAATGAAATTGAAACTCACTGGTCCATGTGGCGGTGTGAATAAGAACGGTCCCTCTATCTTTGCATGTTTAGTCATCAGGGAGTGGAACTACTTAGAAGGTTTGGGAGATACGGCCTTGCTGGGGTAGATGTGGCCATGTTGGAGAAAGTGTGCCACTGAGAATAGATTTTGATGTTACAGAATCCAAGCCTGGCTCCCTGTCTCTCTCCCTGCTGCCCGCTGATCCAAATGTAGAGCTCTCAGCTATGCCTCCAGCAACATGGCTGTCTGTGTGCCACCAAGTCCCCACCTTGGTGAGAATAGACTAAACCTCTGAAGCTGTAAGCCAGCCCCAGTTAAATGCTTTCTTTTATAGGAGCTGCTTTGGTCATGGTGTCTCTTCATAGTAATAAAACACAGACTCCGGCAGTGGACCAAGCTTTGTAGGAGTGGAACTGATTCTCCACTCTGCTGTTTCTGTTAAGTCAGGGTCAACTAGACCTTTGCTTAGGAAAATGTCATAAAACCTTTAAGAAGCCCCAAAGAAGCATTTTCATCAAAGATGGTGTTTGGGGATTGGGCTCACACTGAATTACTCTGGAGTCCAAGAAACTGGACTCTGATTTCACCGTTCCTTTATAAATTGACTTTGTCAGATTTTTTCTTTTTTTTAAATTTTATTTATATATTTATTAAAAACTTCCACCTCCTCCCCACCTCCCATTTCCTTCCCACTCCCCCCTTCCCCTTCTCCTCCCTCTCCAGTCCTAAGAGCAGTCAGGGTTCCCTGCCCCGTGGGAAGTCCAAGGTCCTCCCCCCTCCATCCAGGTCTAGGAAGGTGAGCATCCAAACAAACCAGGCTCCCACAAAGCCAGTCCATACAGTAGAATCAAAACCCAGTGCCATTGTCCTTCACTTCTCAGTCGGCCCTCATTGACAGCCACATTCAGAGAGTCCGGTTTGATCGCATGCTCCATCAGACCCAGTCCAGCTGGCCTTGGTGAGCTCCCATTAGATCAAAGCTCCTCTGAAAACAGTTGCAGAGAGTCAGAGGTTACAACCAGGAGGTCTGTACTTTGGGATGCATGAGCAATTCATGACATCCATAAGTACTGTGACCCTTTGCCTGATGCAGCATCTCAACTCTAGAGGAAAGAAACTACTTTGTCTAGCTAAAATCAAAGAACAAATTCAAGAAATGCTCCCTTGTTTGGCTAAAAGAGGAAATGCATTCTCAGTAGACACATCTGTATGAATGCTGGTAGCTTCAAAGGAAGATGACTTAAGCACAGACATTGGATTATTGTCTGTGAGGGAAATTAAAAATTACATCCAGCAAACCCAAAAGGAATGGACATATTTTGCATGCATGTGGGATGTATTATACATATTTTCAAATTTCTCCTAAGATAAGCAATGAAAAACACAGCATTGGTTTGCTAAATGGTAGTTTTTACAGTCCAGTTCAAACGCTTGTTTTGATTTTTTAAGTGAAAATTTAAAAAAAATAAATAAATTTGCTCTTCTTGGAATCCATAGGACACGAACAATGTATATAGATTCATATGCAATTCATAAATTTTCCTACTTTATTTACAAGGTTAAATACAGACCAATAAGAAGGAGGTCCTGTCACAGGCAGCCCTGCCTTAATTTACCTGCAAAAGCAAGGCCCTGGCTTTCTGGCTTCACCCACCCGCGAAGTGAAGCACGAACTGTCACTCAGGGTGGGACCTTAAGCATTACCCAATCAGAGGCACAGGACCGAAGGCTACCCAATCAGGCACACTGACGGGGCCTGGGGGCGGGGCGTTCAGCTGCACGTCCGTTGTTGCTGATCCCGCCATCTTTGGCGTCTGTGGCCGCTTTTCTTCTCTGCCTTGGCTTTAGAAGTGCACCAGGTCCCGTCGCCTGTGACTCGCTGGTGCCTGGACATCCAGCGTGAGGGGGCCGCTCACCCGGAGTCCCGAAATGGTGCGTGTACCCGCGGCAGCGTCCCCAGCCCCGAGTCCCCGGTGGGAGCCGCCAGGCGCCCGGGCCCCCTGCGCAGTGGCCGGGCTAGGGCAGCTGCTGCAGCCCGGGGTCCTATCGCGTCCGCGCACTGGGGACCTGCAGTGACGCTCCCGTGGCCGGGGCCGAGCTTCCCTGCAGCCCCCAGATGTGGTAGGACTGCGGTCAGCTGGGGATGCTGGCTGGGATGCTGGCTCTTCGGTCTCGGGGCCCTCATGGCCACCGGCCTCCCCGGGCTTTCCTACAGCCGCCCCGCCCCTCTCTTTCTCTTGCACGTCTGTGTTTGTGCCTGGCTGTCTGTGTTGCAATCTTGTGCAGTGTCTCTGAAGCTCTGTCTGTGGGAGTCTCTGCTGTCAATGGCTCGTCTTTTCCCTAGTGTCTCTGGCTTTCTCAACAAGTCTCCTCCTTGAGACCTTTCCTTCAGGTCCTGGAGCCCCTGGTGACCTGGAGTAGGTACATCCCATTCTGAACCGTTTCCCTCGCTCTCCCTCTGTGACTTCTGGCTCTGGCTCTCTAATATGCTATTAGATGAAACCTAAGAATTCGTTCCTGTAAAATAGTGCATGAACGTGCACGGTCGTGCTCTGCCGAGAACCAAACTCCTCTTTTACTTAACGTTTTTAGTATCATATTTTAATGGTACACGGTAATGGCTTTCATTACATTTTATGCCTGTGTGTAATGTATTTTCTTCACGCTAGCCTCATTTATTCTCCTGGTCCCTTCCACACTCCCTCTAATCCCCTTCCTCTCTCCTAGTACTTCCCCTTATTCTTGGATGTTGTCAAGTATTTTTTTTAAAGGACCCCTGACTTTTACAGGCACATTGAAAGGGGGTTAGTTACAGGAGCATGGGCCTCAAACTGTTGCTTACAGTACTGAAAAAAAGAACCCTCTCCCGAGCCAATCTTTAACTCCTTATACATACATCCTGAAGGAAGAATGGGACCTTGTGAGCCTCTTCCTAATTTGTACAGTTTTATTTATTACTTATTTATTTATTTTGAGATGTAGTATTAACTGCAGCCCACGGTGGCTTTGAACTTCTCATCCTCCTCTCTTAGCTGGGAAGAAAGGACCCCAAGATAGGGACTTATACTTGGCAGGCGTCCAGGTACCAGCTGCCCCGCCGCCTCCTTTAATCTATCTTTGCCCCCACCCGTGCTCTTGGGGATGGGGAGAGATTCAGAATGCCTCTCTGCTGGGGCGGTCCTGGTCCACAGGCATAGCTTGGGTAGCACAGAATAGTTCTGGTTGAAATTAGGGTGCACACAACAAAAGAGAGCTAGAGGCAGAGGAGCACATAAGAGAGACGGCTACACAGCAAGACCTGCGGCAGATCAACAGGCCACAAGAAGGTCTCAATACCGGACTCAGGCCAGCCATGTTGACCCCCCTCAGCCTCTCCATAAGGCAGGGAGGGAAGGAGCCAGGTGCCTGGGACAGATGTGGCTCAGAGAAGCAGTCTCCAAGTGTCCTTCTTTGGATTTGGCCATATAGCACTGGACTTTCCTGATCTCCCTTGGCGCTGGTCTGGTTCACGGGACATGAAGGAGGAGCATTAGGAGACTCGGTGCAGGGAATGGGGCCTGCTCCCTAAACCTGAGCACTGCACATGTGGGTCTCAGTTCTCTCTGTATGTGTCCCTGGGTGCCTGCAAATCTGTCTCGCCATCCTTTGCTGCCTCCTCTCCTGTTTTCTTTGGTTGTTTGTATTTGATCTTTCACACAGGGTCTCACTCTGTTGTCTATGTCAGACTCAAGCTTATGGTGATCCTCCTGCTGTAGCCCTCTGTTCCCTGAGATCTTTTAGGCATGAGCCATGATATCCAATTCTCTGTTCCTTGTTGTCTCCTCATCTCTCTGTCTTTGTGTCTTTGGTTTGTCTCGGTCTCTGAAAGCTTGTGTAGAGTCCTGCTCTGGAAGGAAATTTGGCTGACTTTGACCCCACTCAGTAGAAATTTTTGTTTTGTTTTGTTTTTGTTGAGAGAGGGTTTCTCTGTGTAACAGTCCTGGCTGTCCTGGAACTCGCTTTGTAGGCCAGGCTGGCCTTGAACTCACTGAGATCCACCTGCTTCTGCCTCCCGAGCGCTGGAACCACTGCCCATCTACTTGGTAGCATTTTGTAACCTGGGATTCCAGGAGCATCTGTGCATAGAGGCTTTACTTCTTCCCTCTTCCTTTCCTCTCTAGATGTCTCCTTCTGTGCTCCGGTAAGGTGAAACAGGAATGGGAGGACTAGATCTGGGTTCACATCTTCTCTCATATCCAGAAGGCATGCTAGTGCAGGCCAGTATATATATAGCAAGTCTGAGGAGTACAAAGTGGAGTTCATGTTGGGCCAGGGCAATTTAGTACAACCCTGCCTTAAAGAAAAAGACACAAATCAGCCAGTGGTAGAGCACTTGTTGGACATGTGTGGTAGGTTCCATTTCCAGTCACCTCCCTGTGGGACCTCAAAGAAGCCAATCCCTGCCTTTAGATTCAGTTCTATAGAATCATGTTACCCCTTATCTGTTGTTGTACAGCAAGACACATAGTATTGCCATGAAAAGGCCAAGGGCTCTTTAGTGCACACAAACCTTCCATCCTGACACCCCGAGACCAGGAGAAGGGTGCTATATGAAGCCTTTCCCACTGTGAAGAACAAAAAGCTGAGGCTAGGGGTTGACACTTAACTGCCCGATTCCCTGGGGCAGTGACTTGGCCCTCATAGGACAGGAGAAGGCAGTGTGTGCACTAGGTTCAGTAGCTGGAAGAGGTGGTGCTGATGTTTTCTGGTTACTGAGGATGGTTTAGACACTAGGGGTCCTGAGAGAAGAGGACCTGTAGGAAGAAGACAGAGTCTAAGAGAGGAATTGAGGGTCCCCTTCTCCTGTTTTACCTAACCAGGAGGAGGAGAGTCCCTGTGAGAGGAGGTTTCTGAAGGGAATTCCTCAGACTCCCACAGGCCAGTGCCCCAAATCCTGTTGACAGCAGGAGCACCTTTAAGGACCCATTTCCTGGAGGTCAGACGGCAGTGTTTGCGGACCTGGTATGACCCAAATGGAAAGAAAAGAAGGGAAGCCAGGAGCCAGCCTATTATGGATAAACTGTTTTCCCTGAGCCTTCCAGTTGTGTGGGAAGTAAGTTTTAAAATCCAGACACCATGGCTAGTGTCTCCAGCACCCTCGGTGTCTCTGGCAGCAAATTCCTAAAATGACACTTCCTCGCGTTACCAAATATCAACTTTTTACTTTTGTGAATGAATTTGTATGTACCATATGCATGCAGTACTCAAAATGGCCAGAAGAGGGCATCATATTCCATGGACTTGGAGTTGTAGACAGTTCTGAGCTACTAGGTATGTGCTGGGAGCTGAACCATCATTTCTCCAGCCCCATGAACTTCATTTCCTACAGATGTGATTTATTAAATATAGATTTGCATTGTTGTCTTCTTTTTTTCTCCGAGTCCTGGAGTAGTGGATATTTGAAGAATTTAATTCTGTTCATGAACATATTACATTAGAGGAAAGCTGAGAAAGTGCAGTTGAGCCACGTGTACCCTAGGGGCAGAAATGTTATCTGATGACATTGTGTTGAGCTAGCTCCTAGCAGGTTTTATAGTGATGTGTGCCTTTGTCCCAACATCTGTATTTCCTGGTCTGAATACCAGCTCTTGGCTTCTCTTCTAAGGGACAATCTCGTGTGTACTGTGGATCTTCTGGGAATAGGTGGATGCTCTGTATGTTGGAGGAATGTCCTGCCATACCCTCATCTAAGAGACACTTAACTATTAGCATTCTTGGCAGTGAACATGAATGTGAAACCAGTTCCTAAACATTTAGCTGTTTGTTGTGTACTTGCCAGCCCTGGTGATAGTTGGATCATATGGACGATCTGTTTCCATTTTTTGCAAAGCTTGAATACTACTTTGTAAAGCGACTGCACTAATTTTACACATCAACAGAAGAACACTGAGTTCCCTTTTTGCCATGTCCATTATAATCTGACCCTTGTAATCTGTCATTGCATTGACATGGTCATTCTCACAGCTTTCCTGAGGTTGCAAGAAGTATGCTGTCTGCTGTCTAATCCCTGGGGCAAATTGGTTACCATTCAGGCTGTCTGATAACTTCTTAAAGAGCAGACGACTTCTGGGACTAGACTAGAATCTGTCTTGTCATTCTTCTCTGCAATATTTCTGGGTTTTAGACAGTTTTTTTTTTCTGGGCCCTAAATAGATTTACATGTGTCAGATCGCTTTGTTCCCAGAACTTGGTTGGAAGTTTAGTATATATTCCCACAAACAGACCCAATTTAAAGTTGAGGCATTCAGTGAGTGTCAGCCTCCTCCTGTGAACAACTGGTGAGCCTGGAGATGTGTGTGAGTAGAGGAGGAGCTCAGGAGTCTAAACTCCCATCGAAGCTATCCGAGGGTATTTATTTTTACATATATGGTTATTATCTTCCCACCCACTCTTTGGATGACCTAAGGAACATAGAATCATTTTCCTCTTGTATAGTGTGATGCAAGTTGAGTTCTTGCTCATGTGTGTCTCACAACTGGGACTCATTGATGTGATTGTTGTCTCAGTTTCCCAGTATATAGAGGGCAACTCATTTATGCTTTTGAGAGAGAAATGGTACAGATAAATGTTTTCCACTTATGATCGCTTTTTGCCTGAGAAACTTTGTATGAACTCAGATATATAGATTCATATAAAACAGGAATACAAACCAAATATTTGTGTTTAATAAGTCTTACACATTTTAAAAAATAATTCCTCATGATTTTGTTGGTTGTAAAAGATGAAATGAACTTTGCCTATAAATGAACACAATACAAGTCAAATATATGCTAATTTCATGCTTAAAGAGTAAGAAATGAAGTTGGGAAAATACTTAAAATCTCTAATTCCCATGATTAAATCGTTTCCATAAGAGTAGACAGCTGTAAGGAGAGTAAAGTTTGCAGTGTAAGATATCATCTCAGGCAGTGTTCCTTGAAATTGTGTGGTGTGATGGCATGAACAGTGCCTAGTGCGCATGCTGTGTGTTCACAACGAAGGCTACAGTGCTGGTACCTGATGCCACATGGATTCACAACGTCTTTCCGAGTTAAATTTCTGTCATGGAGTATTTATACATCCTCTCTGTTGCAAAAACAATTTTATGACCCTAGATTCATGTATGGGTTATCATCTTGCTTTGAAGAATAAGATCTATTCTACTATAGGAAGGGGACTTGAGTCCATGTCCCTATGTCTTCTGCACTCTAGCACAGTGCTGCCCTGCCAGCCCCAGCATCTGCCTTTTCACTGTGCTCTGCATGCCTTACAGATTTAATTTTGTTTTTATATGATTGAGCTTATAGAATCCATTTGCTTCCTTTTAGTGAAAACCTCACAAACACATGCTCTGATACAATTTTGTTTCTATTATAATTCCGTGGAGAGCTCTTTAATTATAATTTCTTCAGTTAACTATTTAACACAGAGGTAAGATACTTGCGTTGATCTTAATGTGTCCCATGATACAGAATACAAGTCAAGCCCCAGCTTCTATGTGACACAGGCAAGACACAGTCACCTGGAGAAAAGGATTTTTTTTCAGTTCTGAGGCCTTGGGTTGACGAGAGGTATGTCATTACAGGGCTTGGTGTCATTTGAGGACGTGGCTGTGGACTTCACATGGCAGGAGTGGCAGGAGCTGGATGCTGCTCAGAGGACCCTCTATAGGGATGTGATGCTGGAGAACTACAGTAGCCTGGTCTCCTTGGGTGAGTCTGACTAAGTTGATAGATGCTTTAGCATATGTGCATATATTATATTCTTCCTGATAGCTGTTTTTAAAGATTTAATTGTCAAACATACTTATTACCACACTATGGAACATAAGTTCTGTGTCCTTTGCCCAGCTACCAAGAACAGATGCTAACCGTTCCCCGTCTACCCCATTCCCATGTCCCCCGTGTCTCTGCTCTACTCTTATAACTGCCATTTTCTCTACTTCTGTGAGGCTACCTTAGCTTGCAAGTATAATGAAGACATGTGAGATTTTGCTTTTTTTTTATTAATTTTTTTTTATTGAGAAAAGGGGAAAAAAAAGTATCCGCCTCCTCCCAACCTCCCATTTCCCTCCCCCTCCTCCCACCCTTCTCCTCCTCCTCCCACCCTTCTCCCCCTCCCCCCAAACTCCTCTCCCCCTCCCTCTCCAGTCCAAAGAGCAGTCAGGGCTCCCTGCCTGTGGAAAGTCCTAGGTCCGCCCCCCTCCGTCCATGTCTAGGAAGGTGAACATCCAAACTGGCTAGGCTCCCACAAAGCCAGCACATTGCGTAGGATCAAAACCCCGTGCCATTGTCCCTGGCTTCTCATCAGTCCTCATTGTTCACCATGTTCAGAGAGTCCAGTTTTATCCCATGCTTTTTCAGTCACAGTCCAGCTGGCCTTGGCTATAGGAAGTAGACAAAATAGCCGGGGAGAAAATTGGGATCTTGGGGGTGGAGTGGGATGAGGGTAAGGGGAGATGGGGAGAGAAAAGTGAGAAGGGAAGGAGGGGGGGAACTTGGGGAAACAGGAGGATTGGGATAAAGGAAGGTTGGACAGGGGAGCACGGAAGCACAATTCTTAGTTAAGGGATCCACCTTAGGGTTGGCAAGAGACTTGACCGTAGAGTGGCTCCCAGGAGCCCAGGGTGATGTCCCCAGATAGTCCCTTGGGCAGCTGAGGATAGGGAACCTGAAATGACCCGATCCTATAGCAATACTGATGAATATCTTGCATATCACCATAGAACCTTCATCTGGTGATGGATGGAGATAGAGACAGAGACCCACACTGGAGCACTGGACTGAGCTCCCAAGGTCCCAATGAGGAGCGGAAGGAGGGAGAAGATGAGCAAGGAAGTCAGGATCACGAGGGGTGCACCCACCCACTGAGACAATGGGGCTGATCTAATGGGAGCTCACCAAGGCCAGCTGGACTGTGACTGAGATTTCACTTTTTATTACAGACATGGTTCATTGAACTTGTGTCTTTCCTGTGTAGACATAAGAAATCATCTGTTTACCTCAATTGTGGAGGAAGTCAATCGTTCAATAAAACTTCCATCTATTCCAGTATGATCAATCAGAAAGTGTATTTGTTCGGGTCAGACAGCCAAAATGACTCTCAGACAGTGGTAATCCTGACAACTCCACATCTTACTCAGTTTTGCCTTCTGTTGCAGTTGGACAGAAGGGGTCTGGATTGGAATCTCTCTTGAGGGGTTCTAGGCAGTCTTCTGAGGGAATATTGGCACCATCATTATTGCGGTGCTCTATCTATTTTAATGCTATATCTGTATACCAAGTCCTTTTATGGACCACCAGTTATTTAGTTTTAAGATAGTGGAGATTATCACGGGCTCAGAAATAGCGATTTACATCTTCACAAGTGCTCTCCAGTTCTGTTCCTGGACAAGTGTCTCTGTTTGTAGGGTGATGCCCAAAAAAAGATGTTAAGATGTCAGCCTGCTCCCCCTTCCTTTGCTTTCTGGCTGTGGTAAGGTGAGGTACCTTGCTCAGCCACTGTGGCCTTTTCTGTGCAGGTAATTTTGAGTTTGATGTAATACTTTTCACTGACTTTGCTTTGATGGCTGTGCATCTGGCAGACATCAAAATACTCTTTGTCTGCCTCACTGTCCTGAGGTGTTTATTGTATATGCTAGAGACATCATTATGTCTGGTCTTAGATTTAAACCTTTGATTTACTTTTGGAGTTTTCTTTTTCCTCACTATGCATTTATAATGCAGTTTTTCAGGTTGGCTTTGAACTCACTTGATTTTGACCTTCTGATTGTCTTGGCTGTATCTCCTGAATGCTGGGATTTCAGGTGTGTGGTAGCACACTCAGAACCTGATCTGTTTTAGTTGATGTCTATGTAAGGTTTAGAGAGAGGGGTCTCTTGCCTTTTATCAGCATAAATAGTCCATACTTCTCTGCAAGAGTTACAGATGAGAACGTCCCTCCTGGTTGAAAGGTCTTGAACCTTTGTTGAAAATCAGCTGACTGAATGTATTAGTCAGCTTTTCATCACTCCAACACAGTACTTGAGTGAAATCGTAAAAGGAAGATTGATGTTGGCTCATAGTTTTCCCAGGTTTTTCTGTGGTTTTTCTTGGCCATGTCACTTTGGCCCTATAGTGAGGTAGAGTCACGTGAAGGGAGCACAGAACTGAGGTGTGCTGCTTTCTTCACTGACACTGGAGAGCAAAGAAAGGGTTCTGACATGTCAGCATCCCTTTTGGGGCATCTCCTCATGTCCGCATTTCCTTCTGCTAGACTGTACCTGCTAACTTTATCAATGCTGTATTCTTTGGAATATGCTTCAAATCCACATTATAACCCTGAATAGATATGGTTTTGTTTGGGGCTGTGTGTTCTCTTCCAGTAGTGTCTAGGTTTCTTTTTGTGCCAGTTCTCCGCTGTGTCTTTGTAGTGGGTTTTGAAGGTAGGTCCATGTTGGTGCCTTTTCAACAAGAGGCTTTGCTAGTCAGGTCTCTTGCACTTTTCCATGATGTACATTGTTTAGGAAGTGCATTGATTTTACCATGAAGATATTGTTAAATCTGTAAATCACTCTAAGAAGTATGGGTTTTGCGTCTTTTAATACTTTTATTTCTTCCATTTATTAACATAAAATGTGGTGACCTATTTTTGTGTTTTTTTATTTCATAATATTAGTTTATTTTTACTCTGATAATCTCATACATGATGCAATGTATTTTTCAGTTTTACCATCTGTTATCTTCTTATACCCTCCCCATTCCTCTGAGCACACTCCTCTACAGTCTCCCTTCACCTTTCCTCCTTTTGTTGTGTGTGCGCGTGCTTGCGTGCGTGTGTGTGTGTGTGTGTGTGTGTGTTTTATGACCACTGAATTTGATTAGGATTCTTTGCGTGAATATGGGATTGTGGATTAATTCCTGGATGGAGCACAGGCAGTTTGTTTTCTTGGTTTTCTGAAGCAGTGTTTCACTGTGTCTCCTGGGTGCCTTTGAACTTTGTAGTTCAAAGTGTTTTTGAACTTACAACAGTCCTCCTATTCCAGCTATTGTATCCTGAGATTTTTCCATCTGGTGAGGAGGGGGGGGGGCTCTTTTAACTTCTCAGTGTTTGGAAATTTTCAAGCTGGTATTGGGCTTGTTGGTTAATAAGTTTTACAGTAGAGCTGGGGACATAGCTCAGTGATAGTTGGCCTGCAGCTGTTTTGAAGAGGAATGTAAAATTGGACTTCTCAGCAATTAATGCTTTTGATTTTTGATTGCATACATGGTGTTTTAGTTTTTGACTATGTGTTCTCTAAGTTTCATCTAGTTTCTAGGTTTTCTTTTCTTTTTCTTTTGAGTCCTTTAAGTTTTTTCTCTGTGTAGCTTCATTTACCGTTGATAGCATGCCTCAAACGGTGCTGTCATAGCCCATCAGTGAAATGAACTTTCTGCTTGAGCACAATTTTTATATCGCTTTCTATTTACAGGGCACTGCTTGACTAAACCTGAGTTGATCTTCAGGTTGGAGCATGGATTTGGACCATGGAGCATAGGAGAGAACTCACTCTGGAATCTCCCAGGTCAGTGAATGTGAACTGAGGAGGGGAATTCAGCAAGGACAACTGACTGCTTATAGGATATGTTGAGCTGTCTTTACCAGCATTCCACAACTAGTCTAAGTAACAGCTAGTTTTTTTCTGTCAGGCGTTTATTTTATGCAGATTTCAAATGGGGAATTCTGTGTCAGTCCGTCTCATTTTTATTATTGAAGTCTGTTTTCCTAAATTTGCTTAAAAAAATCAATCTTTGTATAGATTTTCGCAGACATTTTTGTTGTTGCTTTGAGATGGGGTCTCATAGCTCAATCTGCCCTCCAACTTGATGTTGCTGGGCTAAAAGTCTTCATCCTTTTCCCTCCATTTCCCACTCCCCACATGTATGATCACACCCAGCATTATCTGTACATTTGTCAGTTAGATACTCTGTCTACATACTTCATCTGAATTCTCACTTGTCATTCTTATCTTAATATTGAAATTTATGTATTTCAGTGCTTAGTCTTGATCAGAAATTTTATTAACATTCAAATGCATCTCTTTAAGGGCTTAAGTTTAGTGAGAGAAAAATGAAGCAGTGCTATAATAATGTACCACAGTGAGGTAAGAGACACCAAGAATATTAACGTGAGGAGGGGGAAAAAACACATGAAGTTTTATTTTAGGAAAAGTATAAAGTAAGGCACTGTTGAAGAATTATTCATTTATTTTAGTTTAGTGTTATGATTACTCTTAGAATTATTTGAACTACCAGCACTCGGGAGGTATAAGCAGGCAGGCAGATCTCTGAGTTTGAGGCCAGCCTTGTCTATAGAGCAAGTTCTAGGTCAGCCAGGGCTACACAGGTAAATCTTGTCTTAAAAAACAAAAAGAAAGAAAAAACATATATATGTGTGTGTGTGTGTGTGTGTGTGTGTGTGTGTGTGTGTGTGTATGGATGTAAATTGAGGACAGAGATTAGCATGGAGAAAGAAATTTGGAAATGTGGTGGCCTAAGGAAAACCAACTGCAGAATATAGTTTTAAATTAGGAAAGAACACATCGGAAATTTAAGGGTAGGATGGCAGATAAAACGTTTTTCCATGCTGATACACAAATGCCCAATGCCAGTCAGAAAGGAGAGAATGTTTTCCAAAGAGAGCATGAGAGAAAGAGTACTTGGGATCAAAGAAGAGGTGACAGGACAGTATTCGTCAGAACAGAAAAGCTATTTTCTCTCACAGACTGCACTTTTAATCTCAATCCCAAGTGGTAATGATCCTAATCCTACAACTAGGTAATGACCATAATAATGAGCAGAGTGCCCTGTTGCCACCGACCGGCGTTTTTTGTCATGGGAGAAGCCTGATACTGGCAAGTGTTAATACAGAGAAATAGCTTCTCTGACAGTGCCTTGTAGATGTTGGCATAAATTGGAAAAACAAATTGCATTCATCTGCATATAGGATGCCATACCAGGGGCCATAACTAAGACCAAACAAAATCTCAGGAGGCTGGGGACATATTGACAGTTTCTCTGTAGTAGGTGAGCACAAGACGTAGTCATGGAAACTCACGTGGTAAAACGTAGGTTCCTCAAGAAAGGAGCATGAAATGCTAGGAATGGGGTCTTACATTTCTAGTGAGGGGTATGCCCTTTCCTCATAGTCACTGGCGGAGAATAACAGTGGGCCCAGTCAGCCAGTTGGTTGGCCTCGAGATCATTTTTTCCTTCTCCACTGTACTTTTCCATGTTGACTGTACCTTGGGATTTGTACTTAAAAATATTGTACTAAAATGTTTGAGTCATTAGCCTTTCATAGCGATCTTCTTTCCAGAATATGCTGGTTATTGGGCTTCAGAGGGCCTGACCAGCCCAGAATCGCCTTACTCTTTGCTGTGTAGGCTAATTCTGCAGATACTTCATGTGTAGAGGTTTGCTTTCCATCAGTGAATATAGAATACTGACGTTTCTGAAGGAGTTGTATGGTGTCTGGCAGATACTCTGAAAAGCTTGAGCACAGCAGTGACTCCTGTATTGAAGTACATAGTTTTCATCATTGGATTCAGGCTTGTCACCAACAATATAACCTTTGTGGACTCAGTCCTTAACTAGTGTATAATGCTAACAGGAAAGTGAGAACAGAAAAATTAATGTTACTCCCCAGCCATTACTCAGCAACCCCAGCAGCCTGCTGATGGATTCTAGTAATAGTGGACGTGGATGAAATTCTTCTCCAGTACATTTCCTTTTTTTTTCTTTCTTTCTATTTCTCAGACATTTTTAGTATTTTTATTTTTATTCTTTTGTCCCAATTAGGGTTACTTTTAGTATGATGAACTGCCATGACCAAAAGCAAGTTGGGAAGCAAAGGGTTTATTTGGCTTACACTTCCACATTGTAGTGCAGGAGCTCAGGTAGGGTTGGAACCTGGAGGCAGGAGCTGATGCAGAGGACATGGAGGGGCGCTGCTAACTGACTTGTTCCTCATGGCTTGCTCAGTCTACTTTCTTATAGAACCCAGGACCATCAGCCCAGGGGTGACACTATCCCACAATGGGCTGGGTCCTCCCCCATCAATCATTTTTTAAGAAAATGCCCTATAGCCGGATATTAGGCATTTTCTCAATTGAGGTTCCTTCCTTTCAGAATACTCTAGATTTTGTCAAGTTGGCATGAAACTAGCTAGCACATTTTGACTTTATCCTTTTTAAGTCTTTGATGTTTGTATTTTTACTGTTCCTTATTCCTTTTTATAGTTTTATTTACCCTTTTTCTATATTTGAATATCTGGTTTGTTCTCTGGCTTTTTAACCTTTTCTGTATTCCTTTCTTTCTGCAGAGTTGTTTTAGCTTTTTTTTCATTTATCTTGCTCAGATTATTGTCTTACTCTTTAAATTTTATTGTCACAAATTGTTCTGCCTATTTAAATTTTTTCTTATAGTTACTGATAGTGTTGCATTTGTTTAAATTTTTTAAATAAATAAATTTATTTTATAAAATGATCTTTTTTCATTTTACATACCTATCCCACTCCCACTTTCTCTGCTCCTCCAACTCTTCCCACCTTCCCTCTCTACCACTCCTCAGAGAGGGTAAGGCTTCCTGTGGGGAGTCAACAAGTCTGACACATCACTTTGAGGTAGGACCAAAGGCCCTCCCCTCTATATTTAGTCTGAGCAAGGTATCCGACCAAAAGGAATGGACTCTAAAAAGCCAGTTCAAGCACTAGCCTGGTCCCACTGCCAGTGGCCACAAAGACTGTCCCAACCAGACATCTATTACCCACAGTCAGGGGGCCTAGTTTGGTCCTGTTCAGGTTCCCTTCCTGTCTTTCTAGAGTCAGTGAGTTCCCACTAGCTCAGGTGAACTGTTTCTGTGGGTATGCCATCATGCTCATATCATTGCTCCTGCCTTTCTTCAACTGTTCTCCTGAAGCTCAGGTCAGTGCTTCACTGTAGACCTTCGTATCTACTTCCATCAGTTGCTGGATGAAGGTTCTATGATGACAATCAAGGTGGTCATCAATCTGACTACAGGGCAAGTCCAGTTCAGGTACCTTCTCTTCTAATACTTAGGGTCTTAGCTGGACTTAGGGTCTTAGCTGGGGTCATCCTTGTCCTGGGAATTTCCCTGGTGCCAGGTTTCATCCTAGCCCCATAATGGCTCCCATAATCAAGATAAGCTTTCCTTTCTCTCCCTCTCTGTTCTTCCGCCATCTCAAATCTCCCATTCTCTCATTTTCCCCTCCCTTTTCTGCCTTCCATTACCCCCACCCACATGCTCCCAACTTTCACAGGAGATCTTGTCTATTTCCCCTTCCCCATGAGATTCATGTATATTTGTCTCAGGGCTCTCTTTGTTCCCCTACTTCTCTGGGGTCATGGACTATAGGCTCATTATTCTTTGCCTTACATCTAATACATCTAATCTACTTATGAGTGAGTACATACCATGTGTGTCTTTATGAGTCTGGGTTACCTCACTCAGGATTGTTTTTTCTAGTTCCATCCATTTGCATGCAAATTGCAAGATGTCATTGTTTTTTACCGTGGAGTTTCTGTAAATGTACCACATTTTCTTTAGCCATTCTTTGGGTGAGGGGCATCTAGATTGTTTCTGGGTTCTGGCTATTACGAATAATACTGCTATGAACATAGTTGAAAAGATGTCCTTGTGGAATGGATCTTCATCCTTTGGGTATATGTCAAGAGTAGTATTGTTGGGTTTTGAGGTAGATTGATACCCAGTTTTCTGAGAAACCACTATATTGATTTCCACCGTGACTGTTACAAGTTTGCACTCCCAGCAACAGTGGAGTGTTCTTCTTTCTCTGCAGTCTCTCCAGCATAGTATCATTGGTGGTTTTGATCATAACCATTCTGACTGGTGTAAGATGGTATCTCAGAGTTGCTTTGATTTGCATTTCCTTGGTTTCTAAGGATGTTGAGCAGATACTTAACTGTCTTTTGGCCATTTGAAATTCTTCTGTAGAGAATTCTCTGTCTAGATCTGAACCCAATTTTTAGTTGGATTATTTGTCATTTTAATGTCTAGTTTCTTGAGTTCTTTATATATTTTGGGGAGCAGTCCTCTGTCAAATGTGGGGTTGATGAAGAACTTTTCCCATTCACTAAGGTGCCCTTTTGTCTTATTGACTGTGTCCTTTGCCTTACAGAAGCATCTCAGTTTCAGGAGGTCTCATTTATTAATTGTTGCTCTCAATGTCTGTGCTACTGGTGTTATATTTAGGAAGTGGTCTCCTGTGCCCATGTGTTCAGTACTACTTCCCACTTTCTGTGAGGTTCAGTGTGGTTGGCTTTATGCTAAGGTCTTTTATGCATCTGGACTTGAGTTTTGTTCATGGGGATAGATATGGATAGATTCTCTTTACATTCTTCTACATGTTAACATCCAGTTATACCCACACCATTTGTTGAATGAAGATGCTTTCTTTTTTTGTTGTATAATTTTAGCTTCTTTGTCAGAAATCAGGTGTGTTCATATGATTATGTATTAATATCCGGATCTTCGATTCTATTCCATTGGTCCACCTATCTATTTATTTTTGTTTTTGATTTTGTTTTTTGAGACACGTTTTTTGTACAACCTGTCCTGGAACTAACTCTTGTAGACCATACTTGCCTTGAATTCACAAAGATCCCCTGCCTCTGCCTCCTGAGTGCTGGGATTAAAGGCATGTACCTCCACCGTCCAACTAACCTGTTTTTATGCCATTACCAAGCTATTTTCATTACTATAGCTCTATGGAAGTTCTTTTCTTGTGCTTGATTGTTTTTACTATCCCGAGTTTTTTGTTTTTATTTATTTAGTTATTTTTCCCAGACAAACTTGAGTATTGTTCTTTCAAGGTCTCCGAAGAATTGTGTTGTCATTTAATGGGGATTGCATTGAATCTGTAGATTGTTTTTGGTGAGATTGCCATTTTTATTATGTTGATCCTACCTATCCATCCAAGAACATGTGAGATCTTTTCGTTTTCTGGTATCTTCTTCAATTTCTTTCTTCAAAGATTTAAAGTTCTTGTTGATCAGGTCTTTCAATTATTTGGTTATTGTTAACCCGAGATATTTTGTTATTTGTGGGTATTATAAAGGGTGATGTTTCTCTGATTTCTTTCTCAGCCTATTTTTCACCTATATAAAGGAGGGCCACTGATTTTTGTTTGTTTGTTTTTTAATTGATCTTGTATCCTGCCTCATTATTGAAGGTGTTTATCAGCTGCAGGAATTCCCTGGTAGAATTTTTGGGGTCAATTATATATAGTATCATATCATCTGGGAATAATGAAAGTGTGGCTTCTTCCTTTCCAGTTTATATCCCCTTGATCTCCTTTTGCTGTCTTTTTGCTCTAGTTAGAACTTCAAGTACTAGATTGAGTAGACATCCTTTTTTTGTTCCTGATTTAGTGAAACCGCTTTGAGTTTTTCTCCATTTAATCTAATGTTGGCTGTCTGCTTGCTGTATATTGCTTTTATTATGTTTAGGCACATTCTTTGTATTCCTGATCTCTCCAAGATCTTTATCATGAAGAGGTGTTGGATATTGTCAGACATTTTTTCATTATCTAGATATTTTTTAGTTTAAACAGTAATGTATGTGTTTGTTAACCACCACCCAGTGCAATAAGAAACTTCTCTGATCAAGTTTTAGAGTAGCACAGATGTATAGGTAGAAACATAAATGTTTAGGATGCAGTTTGATAATATGGCCATTAGAGGACAAAATAGGTTCTCCCTTAAGGACTATGACTTCCCTAGCCACAAGTTTGGATAAATTATGCCCATAATCCTGTACAGTTGATATACAGTATAAATCACCTAAAAATATGTAATTGATATTCTCCTATATGTACAGGCACAAACTAATCTGGATTTGCAGCATAACTATTTCTTAGTATTTATTTTTAATAAAATGGTTTATTTTCAAAATTGTATTTATGTCTAAGAAACAAAAGAGATTTGTACAACAGAAGATGGATTACAAGGAGTTTTTGAAGAATCTGTCCTCTAGTGTGAGAGAACGGTGATTTTATACATTGACCAATGAAATATTGCTGCAGATTTTCAAGGCAAATTAAACAAATTTCTATCACATACATAATAATCCTCTTAAGAACCTACGTTCTTGCTCATAACAGACTATGAAACCTATGTCAAGTGGGTAGATAGTGAAAGAAAATCTTCCCCCCTCACATGGGAGAAATGTGATATCAGGTGGTGTGTCTACAATTGAAGTAATGGAGAAAAGGAGCTCAGGGTAACCCCAGCAGTTAAAAATGAGTGTGCCAGAAACAGCAGAGAAGGATGGATGACCTCTTTCCACGTGTTTCACAAGAGTAAAAGCAGCAAAGGAACATGACTTAGCACCACCTTATCTGTTCATGTAATCTTCCCTTATACTTAGAAATATCTACTGCATAATTTTATTTGAGCAGAGTAATTTTTTTTGATTAATCAATAGTGACTTTTTAATATATTGTTTCAGGTGTTCTTGAAGTGTATGCTTCAGATAAGAGTTGCTTGGAAAATCAGGGGAGTCATGTGTGGCCAGTGGGAAGCATCAGCAGGAATCTGTCAAACAGAGAGATGATTGAAGTAGGTAAAACATGGATGTAAGCAGAACTTTCACATTTTGAAACTGGACATAGGACTAGAATTTTTTTTTCCTAGGAACCTAACCAGTGGTAGAGTGTCCATAGTGAGGCTAATGTAATGCTGACAGTGCAGAAGCTGATAATATGACTGATAAGCCCCTCTGGCACCCTGAGTACCTTAGTCTCCCTAACAAGTTTGAAAGGTTACATTATGATGTTCAATATATTTGACCAGGGATATACATCTATACAAAGACTGTTATGAAAAATGTTTGATATTTAAGAACCTCTCATTTCATGCATTGGAAATCTTTTGTTTGCATAACACTTACGCTGCAAAACATACCTCATGAACGAAAAGTATTGCATTTAAGAGGACTCAGAACAGAACATGGTAGAGTGTAGGACTGAGAGATAGCTGAGCAGTTAAGAACATGAGCTGCTCTCACACAGGACCTGAGCTATCCCAGAACAAGTCATGCTGCTCCTAACTGCCTATAACTGTAGCTCCAAGGGAATATGATACCTCTGGCTTCCATGGGTACCTACTCCTGAATGCATATACCCCTACACATATATGCATAATTAAAAATAATAGAAAAAATAAATCTTTTTTATGACAAGCTGTATACTGGGGAAAATATTGGAAATGTACTTTTTATAAAACTTAAAAGAATTTATTATCCTTACAGAACATTAAATACATGCTAGAAAATAGCCCTACTGATATAAAACCTTGACATATTCTTTTGTCTCAAGGCAGAAATGAAGGTTCAATTGGAACTCCATCGAGGTATAAAGCCCTATGAATGTAAACCATGTGTGAAATCGATTAACCTGCCATCGCAGCACAGCAAGCAGCGTGAATATTACTCAAGCATGAAACCCTGCGAATGGAAGGAATGTCAGAAAGCTTTCTGTTATAAGTCAGCGCTCACTGGACATCAGAGAACTCGTACAAGATTGAAGATCTATCAGTGTACAGAATGCAGGAAAGCTTTTCCCTCCAAATCAGAACTCACTGTACATCATAGAATTCATACCGGTGAGAAACCTCATGAATGTGAAGAATGTGGTAAAGCTTTCTATCGTAAGTCAACCCTTACTGTGCATCAGAAAACTCATAGAGGTGAGAAACCTTATGAATGCAAGGAGTGTTGGAAGGCTTTCTATTATAAGTCAACCCTGACTGAACATCAGCGAATTCATACTGGTGAAAAGCCTTACGTGTGTAAAGACTGTGGCAAAGCTTTCTTCTACAAGTCAAACTTAACTCGCCATCATAGAACCCATACAGGTGAGAAGCCTTATGAATGTGAAGAATGTAGGAAAGGTTTCTCCTCCAAGTCAGAGCTCACTTCCCATCATAGAACTCATACAGGTGAGAAGCCCTATCAGTGTGAAGAGTGTGGGAAAGCTTTTTACTGCAAGTCAACCCTCCGTGTACATCAAAAAATCCATACAGGTGAAAAGCCGTATGAGTGTAAAGAATGTCAGAAATCTTTTTATTATAAGTCAACCCTGACTGAACATCAGAGAACTCACACAGGCGAGAAGCCCTATGAATGTAAAGACTGTGGCAAAGCTTTCTTCTACAAGTCACAGTTAACTCGCCACCATAGGATTCATACAGGTGAGAAGCCTTATGAATGTGAAGAGTGCAGGAAAGCTTTTTCCTCCAAGTCAGAGCTCACTGCCCATCATAGAACTCATACTGGTGAGAAGCCCTATGAATGTAAAGAATGTGGCAAATGTTTCTGTCGCAAGTCACATTTAACTCTACATCATAGAATCCATACAGGTGAGAAGCCCTATGAATGTAAAGATTGTAGAAAAGCTTTTTTCTGCAAGTCAGGACTTGCCCGACATCTGGGAACTCATACACATGACACTAATACAAAGAATAGAGAAAAGCATTTTCCTGCAACTCACATGTCAACCAACATCAGAAATGTCATACAATTAAGAAACCCTGTGAGTATAAAGAATGAAGAGAAACTCTCTACTGTAAATCAGTCCTCACTCCATACCATAGATTTCTTACAGTTGAGAAGTCCTATCGATGTGCATAATGCAAGAAAACTTCCCTTTGTAACTCATGCCTCATTCAGTATGAGTGAACTCAGATGAGACACACTAATAGTGTAGAGAAGGCAAGAAAGCTCGCAGTCAGCCAAGATGAGTTGACATCAGAGAATGTAGAATGATGACAGCAAAGAACAAGTGAAAACTGCCACAAGGGAGACCTTTCTCAACATCTGAAAATCCATATTGGTTGGTGTGTGCCACTGTGTCTGGAAAGAATGTAGGAAAGCTCTACTGTAGTTATCTCTCTGTAAGCATCATACATGTGAAGAAGCTTAGGGATTTCAGTTTTAAAAGTTTTAAATGATGATTCAAATCTCAGTTGATATGAGTATACATGCTATGAAGAATCCTGAGGATGTTAAAAATCCAACATTTTATAGTGTAGAATATTGTATATGTACTAACCTTGGGAAACAAACATGTAAGGGGCCTTGCTAAAGAACATAGGAAAACTTTGATAGTCAAATCACATTCTGCATCAGAAAAGTTATATAGGTGAGTGACTATGTACAGATAACAATTTTGTCCTGTATGATACTTGTTTATGTTCCATGGTCATTGAGACATTTCTATTCAAACTAGAAATATAGCCTGTCCAACTCTGGTGGGCCTGGAGTTGTATATAATAGCATGTATAGAAATGTAGTTCAGAAGTGGTGCTGAGGTATGCTGGATGTGACTGTGACATTGTACCTGATAGGCACTGTCTTTTGTGGGACTTTTAAAGTTACTGATGCTCTGTGTTTTCTTATTTTCATCTGGCAAGAGAAAAAAATGGTGGATCTTCTCAAATTCATTTTAATCGGACAGTCACTGGCATGGGAGTCATGAAATTAACAGTACTTATTTCCCAATCCTCACAGAAATGCAGTTTTGCGTGGTAACAGTTATATCAGATTAGGAGCACACGAGAGACCAAGGTACATGGGGTTTTGTACCATACTTTGCAGATACACAAAGTAATTTAGTTGGGCCAGATACACACAGTTTGAGGTCAAAGGACAGTTCTCTTTGTGACTGAAGGGAGAATAATCTTCAGTAACATACTTCAACCCTGGCAGAAAAGAATCTAAATAATGGTGTCCTAGGTGACTGTCCTCGGAGCAAAGCAACTGCCATCTTGGGAAATTCAGCTGTGCCACCTTGCAAAAGCTAATCCCAGCTGGGCTTGTTGATGGTTTATAGCCTCCTCTCCTCCCCTCAGTAGCCAGTTGCTCCCTATCAATTGGCAATTCTATAGACTGCCTGGAGAAAAGATTTAGACAGTATGTGTATGTATTTGTATCTGTATATATGCATATGTGTATGCATGCCAGGGAAGGCAATATATCCTCCATCTATGCTGTTTGGAAGAAACATGGTTCTTGCTGGGTAAAGTTTTCCAGATGTGGCCCATTAGGGATGGAGAACCCACACTCTTGGAAGTAACCCTCACCACCCAAGCTTTCTCTGTAAGGAAGCCAAATAAACTCGTTGGTTTATTTGGGACTTTGTTTGAATCATGCCCTTGTTTGCCATTAGGACCTTAGGCTCTTCGAAGAGATAGACACTGATTATGTCTCCCCGTGGAAGGAATTTATAACAATATAGGGTCATCATTAGATGAACCCGCAGCCAAGATGAGGCAGCGGCAGCATAATGTGAGTTCCTATAGTAAGTTGGGTCTTTGGGAATTCGGGGTGAGCCTTTTTTTCTGCTATATTCTCTAAATCCAGTCTTTCTTACCTTTCCCCATAGAGAGAGTAGGTAGTGCAAAAACTTCTGTGCTTAGAAAATTTCGTGCTCAGGTTGAATTAGGGTACGAGGTACTAACTTGTAAAGTTAACATGAGATATGCTGTAGTATTACTGTTTACCTTAATAGCCTCCAGGAATTTTAGTAATCCACCCTGACTCACTGGAGTGAGAAAATAAGACACATAAGGAGACACATAAGGGCTCCAGTGACTCCCAAGTGGTGTATCGAAATGAGTTTTCAGTTCAGCAGTCACCTGGGCCTTGAGTGTGCGCCAAGCATGTGTATGCATCACTACTGTGGTGGCCAGTGTCTTCTCTTTACATGCCACCTTTCTCATTGACCTGGCAGTTCTGGCTCATTGAATGATTATGTGGATATGGTGATCCTGGAACCAGAGCTTTTGGACAAGGAGTATGGCTGAGGCCTAGGAAGAAGTCTCAAAACCTCAACACATAGAAAAACTCCCTTTAGAGGAGTCAGACCCGAGATTATGCTCTGGTGCATATTGTCTGCTTTATCAGATGTCATCTTGACAAGATTCAAACCAGCCAGATACTAAGGTGCCTGAATACACAGAAGTGTGAGGTTTTTACTGACTTGGAGTTAGTTTCTAGTAATAGTAGATTAGAGATAGAACGTGTCCCTGCTAAATCAAGGAAAAACTAGTGGCCAGTATACCTTTTCTTTCTTTTTTTTAAATATTTATTTATTATGTATACAATATTCTGTCTGTGTATATGCCTGAAGGACAGAAGAGGGCACCAGACCCTATTACAGATGGTTGTGAGCCACCATGTGGTTGCTGGGAATTGAACTCAGGACCTTTGGAAGAACAGGCAATGCTCTTAACCTCTGAGCCATCTCCAGCTCCCTGTACACATTTTCTATGTGAGCCCACATTTCCCCAGCCTTTGATCAGAGGTTTAGATTTATGATAGTTCCCATATTTTCTTTTAGAGCCACACACAGCTGCATCCACAAGGTCTGGGAAATAGTGCAAATGATAGCAGGTGTGGTAGCAGTGATGTGGGGGAAGAGGGTGGAATTTGGATAGACCTTGGCTGCCTGCCTCCCTCCCATCTTACATTGGTTTAATCTACCCTTGGCATTGGGTTCAGGACCACCATCTCTTAGCTACCACAGCTTAAGCTCTTAGACTCCAAATTTATTGACTAAATGTAGTTCTTATATACAACTGCCAAATGTTTTGAGAATCACAGGGAATGGAATATAATAAGTGAGTCTATATGTATGACATACTCATTGAAAAAGTGATGGAAGGTGCTAAGTCATACAAGCAAGCTTTTGACTGTTTTCTCCAAATATCAGACTGCACAAACTGCTCCAGTTGCCAGATACTTTAATCACAGGGATATGTTTGCACTTGTGAAGGTACTCTCAAAAAGAAATACTTTGTAGATAAGTGGGATTGGTTCCTGCAGTCTAATTGAACAATTTGTAAATAAAATGAAAATGCTCTAGTAAGCATCGTCTGCCTGTGTATAATTGGGATCATTAATGTGAACATATAGTTACTGTACATTTTAATTTCTTTGTGACTGTTTTTCTTTGCACTGTGGAGTTTTAACTCTTTGAACCAGTATTGCTATACATGAACACTAATTTCTGTATTGTGTCATTGGTAGGATAATGTCAAATACATTCATGAGCTAATTTTCCTAAATGAATAATTTAAATACAGTATTATTTTCCCTCTTCCTTTTCCTTCCTCCAGCATTTCCTTTGTAGTCCCTTGCTCTTTTAAATTCACGGTATCTTTTTAACATTTGTTACTGATGTGTGTGAATATATATTATATATATATATATATATATATATATATATCCCTAAATATATAAATGCACCCTTTCGGTCTACATGTTACTTGTATGTGTATGATTTCATGGTATTGGGTAACCAATTTCTATGGCTTTTTTCAGGAAAGACTGTTTCCTGTTGTCAACATTTTTTAGTTGTCTATAGTTCTTTGTCTAGAGTTGGTGTGTTGTGAGATTAACCTCCACCCCCCAACCCCGCTAATGTGTGTTAATGCTATCCTTTTAAAAAACTTTCAGAATTGTATGTGTATGAGTGTTTTGCTTGAGTTTATGTGCATATACCACATACATGCCTATTACCTGCAGATACCAGAAGAAGATGTTGGAGCCAAGGGAACTGGAGTTGCAGATGGTTGTGAGGAACCATGTGAATGCTGAGAACTGGATCTAGGTCCTCTGAAAGAGCAGCAAGACTCTAACTGCTGAGCTGTCTCCAGCCAGCCAATAGCAGTAGTATTTTAATTTGTGTATCTGCACTGCTTTTGTTTCTCATGTTGAGGATATGATAATTGAACATTTAGATATGTTCTATAAAATGTGGCTGTTCAAGTTCCTTGACTATTTTTTTTCTTCTTGAACACTGTTTTATCCTTTTTTTTTTTTTTTTTTTGGTGATGACTTTAGATGCATTCTGCTTTTAGGAATTTAGTGAGGTGTACTTGGAATAATACTTTGAATATATGTTTAGTCTGTTTTTGATATGTAGCATTCATAAAATCAGTGCTAGTCAAGATAATTAAGATATCCATCTCACTGAATTGTTTTCTAGGAGCTTTATAATCCTTCGTGCACTTTTCCCACTAGTTCAATTTTTGTAAGACAAAAAGCAATTTCGACAAATGATACAATTATCTATAGATAAATGAAGTAGCACAAAGGAACATATGATGTAATTAACTACCTATTTCAAGAAATTGAAAGTTCATTGTAATTCAGAAAACACTAATAGGCTTGAAAACTAAATTGAATGCTGGGAGAAAGAAGGCAGAGTTAATGGGATGCCATGTAGCTACTGTAGGAGACAGACACCCCAGAACCTTGCCAGTAAACTACAAGCCTCATAGTAAAATATAAAATAATGGAAATGGGTTATTTAAGATATAAGAATTAACCAGAAATACACTTAAGCTATTGGCCAAATAGTATTGCAAATAATACAGTTTCTGTGTGGCTATTTCTGGTCTGAGCGACCTGGGAACAAACTAGCATGTTTTGCCAACACCCCGTATTTATTTGAATCCCTTTCTGTGAAGTTGTGGATTCTTAAAAATTGTCATCTCTTTAATTACTTCTTATCCTTATGATGTGGCCCCTAGAGATTGTTGGTGAGAACTAGTGATAACCTAATGGCTAATATAGTAAGATAACCAGAATAAACTGGTAATAAAACAATGATTAAAATTAACCTTCATTCATACACAGATCTAAAGAGCTTTGTATTTTAAAGGATGAGTTTATGCCTAAGTTACTTTAATTGATAATTTGGGTACACAGATTGTGTGTGATAAAGATCCATTTCTTTATTAAATTACTTTTTTAAATCTCGTGTTGATCTATGAACCTGTGAACAAAATTCTGACATACTTAGAACAACTGAAATGTCTGTCCCTGAGAGAAACTAGCACCCAGTACAGCTGTGCACTTGAGTGAATAGCTCATACATCACTAAGTATTCAATTTCTTGAGGACAGTTTGATAAGGGGGCTTTTTACACACCCTTAGCTCTTCTGGAGTTCACAGTGTAGAACAGGAAGCCCTCACCTATGCAGCAATCCTTTTTCTGCCCCTCAAGTGTTGGGATTATATGCATGTACCATCATACCCAACTGCATTTAGTCTTTAGATTGTGATTATTACAGGGACTCCCAGATGCAATTGTGAAGGTCTATATGATACTACTGTCTATACAAACTGCATATCAGTAACAATACATGCAAAAGTTGATTATTACAGTTTTGACGTAATCTCTTACAGATTCTTATGTTTGAAACCTGTTTATGTATGTGACAGTGTTGAGGTGCTGGGTTATAGTATGAGGTCTCTACTGTCCCTTCCCATTATCACTGAAGTTTACTCCCTGCTTCCTTTCCATCCCTCCCTCTCTCCTTCCCTTCAACATTGATGCTGGTTATAGGACCACCATCTTAGCCACCACAATTTAAGCTCTTAGCTTCCAAACTTTTTAGCTACCAGCTAAAGTATTCTGTTATTCTAAAATAATTTTACATATATATTTGTGAGTTGTTTTTTAAGGAAGCAATTGTTCCCGATTTTTATTAGTTCTCTCTTCCTTGAGAAAAATGACCAGTGATGAAAACAGGAAGAGAAAATGCTTGTTTTGCTTCTTGGTTTTCAAGAGTTATTAGTCCATCTTAGCAAGACAGGTGCATTAACAGGATTCGCTAAATGCCAGGTAGTGAGAGCTGGAGGTATCCACTCCTCGTATGGTAGAGAACAAGGAAGCAGAGACTGAAGGCCAGTATGAGGAGTAGGTATAAACTTCAAAAGTCTGTGAGTAATAACCCACTGCCACAGGCTTTTATCACTATTATGAGAACCATGAAAGACTGAATTAAAGCAATAACAGCTATTGTTGCAACACCGAAAACTTCAGTTCCATAACCAGTACTAAGAGTTTTATTGCCGGGTGGTGGTGGCGCACGCCTTTAATCCCAGCACTCGGGAGGCAGAGGCAGGCGGATCTCTGTGAGTTCGAGGCCAGCCTGGTCTACAAGAGCTAGTTCCAGGACAGGAACCAAAAGCTACGGAGAAACCCTGTCTCGAAAAATCAAAAAAAGAAAAAAGAAACTAAGAGTTTTATTGAGATCAATCTTCTGGTCCCCACTGGTACCCCTAAACCCTTCAGATCTGCTTCTTATAACGCGTGTTACCTTTATCATTGTTCAGCTCTACATCATGCATATGGCTTCACTTAGCTGGGTATCCCACATGGGATGTTCTCAGGATTTCCTTGTAGAGACTTTGAGCGTACAATGCACCACTTGTCCTCAGTAGCATTTCTGAAACAAGCTTTCACAAACTCCTCATGCATATCTTATTGCTGCCAAGTGCTGTTACCATCTTAAAGTGTAGCCTAAATCCTGGGGCCATAATCACAGTGACCTCTGCATAATGCATGAGAATGCAAGTTTAGTTGATCTTTTTCTAGGAGGGAAGCCTTTGTTTAGCATTCTCAATTCAGGTATGTTGCAAATGAACTATAAACTTGCATTTTCATGTTTTTGAGTGGTGCTATATTCTCAGGTGCTCCTAGTTGTTTCCCCAGTGCACATTATGCATTTTTGCCTAATGGTGTTAATCTCTATAAAGGTTGCAGAAACTATGGCATGACTTGTCTGCAGTTTTAAATTTAATAAGTAGCTTCTTATCTAGTTCTCAGAAAATTTTGAAAAATGTGTTTTTAAAGTTTTTATCCCATTCCCCAAATCCCTCCCCCAATCACCTGCCCTTTACTGCCAACCCACTTTGTGCCCCGCCTTTTAAATCCAACAAGTGCAGTTTGTGCTTCCCATATATTTTATGTGTGAACTTCTGCTGGAGTGTGGTTGAGTTATGAAGTGTTAACACTCTGAAAGAAAACTGACTCCATTTCCCAGCAGCCATCAATTGCCAGAAGTTCTTCAGGTTTTGAGTGGGAATTCCTGTCTACTTTCTTTCTCCATGGTGGGATTTGGTCTAGCTAGGGCTTAGTACTAGGATTCTGCATGCTGTCTCACTGGTTATGAATTCCTATGTGCAGCTACCTTGTGTCCCAAGGCAGAGTCCAACTGTATCTTTTGACTTTCAGCTAGATACTCTTCTGACACAAGGCAAGACACAAATATTTTGCTGAGTATCTTTAAGTCTATCTGCATCTCATCACCAGAGAAGGTGATTGTGGCTATCAGTTTATGCAAAAATTCTTGTCTCTCCATCAGGTTTCTGATGTTAAATACCTTTTAGCTCCCTTAGCAGTTGGGATCTAGTTATACCTTTAATTTGTTTTTAACTTTTATAACCATTTTTTTTTCTAAATTCTGGGGTCAACTGGGTGACAAAGGAAATCTTTTGAGCAACCATCTTTAATCCTAAAAATTACTTAAAGTCTCGGTGGTCAGTGTATGGCAGAAGGGATATCAATTCTATACAGGCAGCATTGTCCGGCAGCAATTCCCTTGATGGACCAGGGAAGTTTTTTTCTAATTTTTAAGAGAATGGTAACTTTGAGTTTTCTGATTATACAGATTGCCCTTTAAAGGAGGCCATAAATCATGGAACAGAAAGGAATGAAGCTTTCTTTCCCCTTTCTTGGGACTGTTTAGAATGGACAGGGCAGTAAAGGGAATGTGTGGCCCAGGAAACTATTCCTCCCTCCCTTTGTACATTCCACATAGAATATAGGGTACAGGGACCCTGGATGACAGGCTCAGGCCCTCCACACAGGGACCAGTATGTCATTGGAGACAAATGATGAAACAAACAGCACCACATGAGTGGGACAAGTGTTTGTTTGTTTTGTTTTGTTTTGTTTTGTTTGTTTCTCTGGGTGACCTTGCAGAGACAAAAGGATTCAGGCCCCCAATGATATACATATAGATCCTAAGCTAGGGTTGTTTTGGGGGAGGTTTTGTATTAGAGAAAGGCACTGGGAAATAGAACTGACATACATAGAAAGACAGAGACTGTAAAGACAACCAGGGGTGGCTAAAATACATTCATGCACCTGAGCAAACTGGGATTTGTTGGAAGAAGAGAACAATTGTTTTCCAGCTGCCCTGCTAGCTCAGTTAATAGATCATGATACTCTAAATCTCAGGGTTGTGGGTTTGAACGCCACATTGGGTGCCAATTTGTAGTAAGGAGGCCTGATGTTTGTCCTGGCAGCCCAGAACTGAAATAATCACACAGAAACTGTATTATTTAAATCACTGCTTGGTCCATTAGCTCTAGCTTCTTATTGGCTAACTC